CAATATGCAATGTATTAATTGTTGTAACTCTCCTACCAACCTGTTTTGAAGCTGTCACATTGCAACTTTTTCTCAATAAAATTAATACAAAAAATAAACTTCCACTTTATTTGAAGAATAGTTTTACCTTATTGTGGTAGCTAGTACACTTAAGGCTGTATTAAACAGGTGCAGTGACAAAGGTCTCTTTTCCATTTAGTTCCCTAATTTTAATCAAATGTTTTAAAGTTTCACCATTAGAGTTAGTATATGCATAATAGTATTTTTTATGTCAGAGTAAAGATGAACCCTTCTGTTAGTGGTTTGCTAAAAGGTTTTAACATCATTTTGTGTTTAAGTTTATCAAATACCTTTTTTACATCTACGATGACAATCACATTTTTTTTGCAGTACCAGGAGTTGAATCCAGGGTCTTGGCACTGAGCTCCGTTTCCAGCACCTCCCTCAACCTTTAACATGTTTCTGTTTTGAGATGGGGTTTTGCTAAATTGCACAGGGTGGGCTCAAATTTTCAGCCCTCCTGCCCCAGCCCCACAGCATGCTGGGGTTACATGCATGTACGCCCACACCTGGCTCATGACTCTGCATCTCATCTGCTTCCAGGTTGACACAAAGGAAGATGACCTCCTCAGTCCTCTTTCAAAGAAGCTTTGTCCCTTACTTCTGGCATCCTCCTTCTTAGTCCCTTCACAGCTGACTTCAGGGTCCCCAAGAGCACTCCTTTCTGGGAGCCCCACCAGTGCTAGATGGGCACTGAGATGCAAAGGCTCGGCTGCCGCGCAACACAGCAGGCTGCTGAGGGGCAACTCGGGGGGGGGGTTAAACATGCTTCCAGGTTCCCCTGGGTTCAGCCAGTCTTTGGGGGCCACAGTCTCATTTGCCCTTTGTCCACCCCACTTGCTTCCTTCTGTCCACTTGTTCTGTATGCTGCCCTTCACCTCAGAATCTTCCTTCAGAGGACACAGCCCATGGTCTCTATTTAAATCAGACACTTCTAACTGTTAAAAAACTTCGCATTCTAAGAGAAACCTCTCCTTATCACACACCCGACTGGATTCAGGTTGATATGATCTTGAACTTTGACCTATTTGCACCGTGTCCTCTGTCAACGTGGCCTCTGTACAGCCTCCAGGTGCCAGCTGCCCAGTGCCACCCGGAGTCACAGGAATTCCTTCTTGATCCAGCTGGGTATACTGTTTTGTAAGTAGCCTTACAAGATGTTTTTATTATTTATCTTAGTTTTAATTTCAGAACATCTCCAACCTTCCAATTGATTTCACTTTGCTCTGAACAGCACTTGCCCAGCACATTTTGCGATTAGGAGATTTTTCTGCTTTTGGTGCTCGGTCATTCATGGCTTTGACAGAGCCATTCGCTTGGACGTCACCATCTTCCGAGCTCATGCTAATTCCTAGCCAGGGGCCACAGGAGCCTTGGACAGGCTGAAGAGGAACCTGACCCTCAATAAAATCCCTCAGAACCGACATGTCTCTCATGAGCTTAAGGAATATGAGAAACAGCTGAAGACACAGCACAGAAAATTATAGGGTGAGCAATGCTCTTACTATGCACCACTGTAAGAGAGGCACGTGGCCGGCCACGGTTACTGGACACTTTCCTCAGAGTATCTTTCTTTCTTATTAGAGGGCGTGGTCACTACGCTCCCCTGCCCCAACTTTAGAAAGAAACTGTTAACTAGGAAGACACATAACTCTTGGCATCTTAGAACTTTCAGCCTTTACAAATAAACATATCTTCAGGTAGGAAGACACATAACTTATGGCATCTTAGAACTTTCAACCTTTACAAATAAACATATCTTCAGGTTCTATTATTCAATAAAATTAGAGCCATCCTCAACGGTGACTAGAGACAATAATGACAGATGATGATTTTATCATTTGGCTGTAACAAAGAACTATGAATTTGTCTAAAAGGTTCTGAATATGTGCTATGGATTCCACACAAATGAGTTTATTGTAATTACTGGAAAATATCTTAAGAACATCTGAAAAATAATTTTATTTTTAAAATTTTTACTTATTTATTTTTATTAATTTTATTGAGAAAAAAATTGCAATGTGACAGCTTCAAAACAGGTTGGTAGGAGAGTTACAACAGTTAATATATTGTATATTGTTGTCTTTGTAGTAGTCACTCATAGCACAAGATGCAGACATGATGTCCTGTCCAAACACTATTAGTATAGATCTTTCTTCTTATTGAATTAAGAGGAAGTAGCTATATATCTATCCTATTTGTATATACAGATACAAAATTGTCCTTCACTTATATCACCCTTTTTTGTTCAGTTTTGTCAGAGATGGGTATTCCATTGCCATCCAAATATTGTGGGTGCATGAATTCAGCAAAATATTCCAATACAGTCCAGTACTCCACAATAGTAGTGGGTTATCCACAGGACTGGCAATGTCCAAATCTGATGACTCGAGCCTTCCTCAGCTCAGCATATTAACATGGCTTCACTTTTCATACCTCATTTCTACACTTTTCTGCTGGATAGTTAATACCAAGATAAAGCAAGACTTATATAACAAAAAATGTAACTTTTTTATCTGACATGGTCAGTCAAGTCCTCTCAGGACTTATCCCTAAACCTTGTACCACACTTTGTAGATCTTTTGTGAGTGTCAGCCATGTGGATGCATCATGGCCATTGCTTGACAATTTGTTCTCTGAGAAATCCTGAGAGAATGTTTTCTCTCCAAGTGACTTTCTTTAGGTACACACTACATCATCAATCACATTCCTCTTTGGCCCCATAATCTCCTTGATCAGAAAATTTGGGGCTCAACTGAGTGAAAAACAATTCTTTAAAATTGTATTGCCACCGATTTACAAAAAGCCCAATTTGCAATATGAAAATGGAATTTGTTCTGTAGTGTTTGTTTTTGTACACTGCCACCATGTACACACCTAGCAAATGACAGACTGGATTAGACCATGGCCGAGACCTTTCTCTCACCACTCTGGTATATTTCCTGTTTCAGATGAGTGAGACAGAGACATGACTCATCTCTGGTTACATACTCGCTAGTGACAGAATTGTCCATTAAACTGGAGTTTCTGATCCTCAACAGCTTCACCATTTGTCTTTAAAAATATGACTCACCATAAAAAGCTAAGTTGGCTGTGGTTTCTGCCCATAAGAAAACACAAAGTTCACTTGGGGTTTGTTTAAAATGGATATAACTCAAGATGACTGTGATGCTTTCGAGGCAGGCTTATTTTGAAAAGGAAAGAACTGATGAGCTCGTGGGGTCTCTACAGGGCCCAGTGAGGAGGAGAAGAGACAGCTCTCCTGGCCTGGAGCAGAGAATAAATCTGAGACCAGTTTAATGGCCTCTGTGGAAGCCTTTGTCAGGAAACAGTTCCCAGCAAATCCATTCTCTGACTTCCGAGAGCAAACAGTACACCAAGATTTTCTCACTGGCTCACCTACCTAGAAGCCTGATTTAAATGATCAGGGAAGTGAAACAGCTAGTGGGAAAATCTGCAGTTTCTCTCATTAGAAGTCCAATCTATTTTTACAGAATCATCTGTAGAAATCTTGGCATCTGCAATCTGGCACGAATGAAGCTCCCTTTCGCTTCCCTCACTGTGGCCAGAGGGGGCTGCTTTGCCCCATAAGCGGAGATGTGTGCTTTGCCAGAAAACTCGCATATTTGTGGGCAGCGTCAGTGGAGGTAGGAGAGACTGTTCAAGGTCTGCACAGGCTGAGCACTGATGGTGTGGTGAGAAGTAATGCCGTGGGGTCAGCAAGTTCCTGCTGCCAATAACACAAAACAGAGAACCGTGGAGTGGTGGTCACAGGGACGGGGAGCTGAATCTCACCTCAGGGTCCTGTGGGACAGGACAGGCACCTTCTCTACACAGCCCCTGTCACCCTGAAGCAGTGTCAGGGGCTACAGCCCAGGCAAAAGTCATCAGAAGTGGCTGCCACTAGAGGCCTCTCAGAATTTGGAAATTAGGGAAATATAGCTATTCAGAGAGTTAAGTCAATTCCGAGTAAAGCCAGAGCATATGCAAAGTTGCTTTAAAAGAGTAGATCTCAATTTTGAGGCCCCAAGTCTCTCTAAAGAATTGATGCAAAGCTATTCACACGACCTCCTCACCCCATCCCTCCCTGCTCCTGTCAAATTTACGCATGTGCAGCACATAATGTTTACCTGCACTCTGGGAATGCACGGGCCCAGAGTAAGACTGAAACATAAGGAGACAGCATAGTCCTGGCTAAGGCAAGTTAACCTGGAAATGCTGTTTCTTTTGGAAAAAGAGCCTGCCAGAAAGGAGGTTTGTCTGCAGTTATAAATGCAGCAGAAGGCAACACAGCAGAAGCCATGGCAGTGGTGGCCACCAAGGAGAGTCGAGGACAGGCAGAGGACTTTGAGGACTGGCTTTCCTGAACACTACCTTTGTCTAGATGGAAGACACATCTATGTTTCTAATCAGTCTCTTCTCTCAGACTCCCAGTTTACCAAGCAAGCATCTGAGGAAAAGCTGTCTTCTTCTGTAGACCTGCTCATGGACAGCATGTTCTACAATCACCGTCACACCAGAAACAAGTGAATCTGCTCTCTGTTGTGTACACTGGCCTCAAAATCCCAGCCTTGAGGGTCAGATCCACTGGCCCTGAGCTGAAAATGAGGCTTTTAAGCTTATCAGAAGAGATCTAGGAACTATCTTGCCAAAAGTCATCCCTTGGTAACTAGCTGGCCACATGCCTTCCCACTGGGAATTACTTTACTTACCTTTGACAGGACACCGGATTGTCACGTTTGCTCCAATGGCTGCCTCCACAATGCCTCCCACCACGACAGACAGATGGTTGTGCTCTGGTTTGGTGATATTTCTTTCAACAGACAAGATGACAGGTGCCTCTTAAGTCAAAGGGAGTGGGAAACTATGTTAGAGTCAGGCTTTTGCTCTTTGGTAAACTTGCTGCATTTGGTAAACTGTATTGAATTCAAAGTGATCCAGGGTAAAAGGCTGGTTCTTTCTGCATCCCTCATGCTGTATCATGGGGACCCATATGTACATAGTTGGAGTGTGCAGTGGTTAGATGAATGGATAAATGCATGAACAGGTGGCTAGCTGACTGGATGGACAGATAAACAGAAGCAGAGGGATGAATGGATTAATGGAAGGAGGGAGGAAGATGGATAGCCAAATAACTGAATTGTTAGATGGATGGATGGATGGATGGATGGATGGATGGATGGATGGATGGATAGATGGATGGACATAGTTGCTGCATGGATGAGTGGTTGGATGCATTTTAAAAAGTGCACTTCTATAACCATATTTATACTGTGGATATTTTGGCTTTACAATGAAAATTAAGGACAATTCCTTAGCACTCTGGGAGTGTGAGGTAGAAGTAGCCCAAGTTCAAGTTTAGCTAAACAACTAAGCTACTTAATGAGACTTGGTTTCAAGATAAATTTTAAAAAAGATTATGGATATAGCTTAGTATGAATGCCCTAGATTTTTCTACTGAAAAACAAAGGCTGTATTGGAAAAAGATCAGATCAGTAGGAGGTGATAATCCTTGTGTCTCAATAAAATGTATGAGGTATACTTGGGCAAACTCTTCCTTCTTTGGGCTTTCCTTCAAATTCCAGTAGAAGGATTACAGTAGAAAATCTCTTAATTCCTTCTATAATATCAGTATACCAATTAAACCCTGCCTCATTAATCCCATTTCTTCAAAGATGAACTCTAGAGCAGACATTTATGGTTGTGGTTCTCAGAACACCATGGATAAACTTTCAAACTTGTGACCCACTGCTCTAGAATCTAAGGTTAAAAACAAAACCAGAGATTCTAAGTCTCAACCACTGGCATTACCTGCATATAGCACAGAAGAACTTTCCACATCTGAACCGAGATGATTAGCTACAGAACACTCATATATTCCTTGTTCTTTCTTTGTTGGGTTCCTTATCTGTATCCTTCCAGTTCCATCCAAACTTATCCTGTAGAACAGTTAAAGAGGGTGCATTCAGGTAACACATCTTACTGCTCTAGGGCCACAGAAAGCTGCAGAAAAAGAAGACTGCAAAATATAGACTTTCAGCTGGTGAAGAATCCAAAAGATGATTGCATAAGGACTCTTTCTAAATCCAGATAACTACCAATCAGGACAGAGAGGTTTTCCTCTTGCCCTCAATTCCTGGCCTTGTTAGAACTGGAGAGTGCTTTGACATCCATGCTTCCTACCTTGCTTTAGGAGAGAACAGGTTTTTTGTTTTGTTTCTTTTTGGGGGGATGGGCTCACTACTTACTCTGTTGCATTTTTTAAAATGATAAACTCTCCAAGTTTGCTGGATGTCAAGCCCTCATTTTCTGCCCAAATGCTAACACACTGCAGGTGTGGCTTTCCACATGGAAAGAGTGGCTCTGGTGAAGGCCCCTTTGCAATGAGCTCTTGTGTCACTTCCACCATGTAAGAGCTGGCTTCTCTGGAGTTTGTTGATTACTGACATTCCTAAAAACCAGTATGACTTGGGTGGGTGTGGCGGTGCCCACATGCCTTGAATTACAGTACTCTGGAGGCCGAGGCAGGAAGATAGCCATAAGTTAGAGGCCAGCCTGGGCTACGCAGCAAGGCCCCGAATTCATGTGAATGCGTGCGCATGTGTGCGTACATGCGCGCGCGCGCACACACACACACACACACACACACAGAAAAACCAGGTATGTAAATATTATTCTGAAAATCAGCTTCAGGTTGATCTGGTAAATCCTAATTAGGTAATTTATTCAGAGAAACCAGAAAGAATTTCTGTTCTGTTCTTATTTGAATTTTACTTTTTTTCTTTATGATTTCAATCCACTTCTAAACCCTAATCAGGGGTCCATGTTATTTATTTCTCTATCCTACTTTATAGATTTTAGAAATACATGTTTTTTCTGACCTCTGAATAGTGTTTTTCTCATGCATCGTATTATGCTTCAGCCATGTTGCTGTGGTCACCCGTCATCCCGAGCTTTTGCGTACATTGCTCACTTTATTTGAAATGGCTTTCTCCCTTTTTGGAAAACTCCAACCTACCCACCGCGTCCTGGATCACATGTAATTTGTCTTATAAAATTTCCCTTAATATCTCCAACGTCATCTTCTATCCCTTCGGACTCCTGTTTTGGTTCATGTATTTGATTAAATATCAATTTCTTCCCACTGGATTGTGATCTTCTTAAGGGCAGGGCCAATCTTATTCCCCTCTGTGCCTTCCCAGTGCTAAAAACAGTGAGTTTTCTATAGCAAGTTCCCCAAGCTCACTGATGACTTCATGTATGAATAATCAGAATGGAGGAATGGCTCAGAGTAAAGTCCTAGAGGATGGGAGGCCCCTCTGTTGGTAACACAAGCAGAAATACACAAGAGTAGGCAGAAGGCAAGGCAAGTAGAGTTCTCCACAGCAAAAGGTCTCCAGCTAGATTTTTCGTTTGAGGAAGAATAGCTAACAACAAGTGTAGCCAGTAACTATAGCTACATATATGACAAATGAGCCCACTAACACGTTTTCTTCAAGATTTTGTACACATGCATGTGTTATTTAGCAATTTGAATGTATTGTCTTAGTTTTGGAGGCCCCAACTTAATAATCCATGAGAAGCCAATGAAATATGAAACCAGTGGGTGGGGCATGACTCTCACAAGCCAGGCAGGCCCTCCAGCCACTAGGACTGGATCAGTCCTTGGGCTAGAGAACCAGCAAGGGACCTCTCTTAGGTACCTGGCTGCGGCTGCACGCCCTTGCTTTTGGCCAAAGCAATTACAAAGCAGGCCTTTGTAGACAGCCACTCCTAACTAATCTCTCTTGCTTTTTGCCCACTCCACACCTGCGCACTCTTCCCTCTTTGGAGAGCTCTGAGGAATGGACTCCCATTTCTCCATTATGTCAATTACAAAGATTTGTAAGTTCAGAAACATATCCAAAAGTGAGAACCTCATTGCATAAAGGGAATTAAACAGACACTGAACAAACTGAGTAACTTTCAGAGAAAAAAAATGAAAATAAAATGGATTTCATTCTCTTAAAACTTAGAAACAAAAACTTTTACATGACATGTGGATATCCTTCTGTTGTAAGTGATTGCTCCCTCCCTCCCCACAGTTGCATATCTTAGTGGGGTGCACGGGGTAAAAACTCTTCTTTATAGGCCCTCTAGGAGTCTGAGCCTCATACACTTAGGTCAATTCCCTTCCTCCAAGTCTCACTATTCACAATAAATTCAACATGAATTTATGTAAATGGCCATGTGCACAGAGCCACAGGCTATGAGACACGTTAACTTTCTCAGTCTCCTTCCTTCCGGTTTATACAGTAGAACTGTTGTTGCATCAGACAGCAGTCTTAAAGGCTATCCAGGGATCTCAAGGTCAGTAAGATGAAAACTTGCCAGAACAATAGCAAGCTCTGATGTTGTACCTTTTCCCGGCTGTGCCAGCCTTTGCAATGATGGCAGAGTTGGCAGTGGCAGAACCGCCAGCACCCACCCAAGCAAGGAGACAGGCAATGTCACCTGTGCTGGCAGGCCCATACTACGAAAGCATAAGGCCAGCTGCACTTGAGAATGTTCTTTATGGGGAAGTGATGTGTGTGGACCCTACTGAGACTCAATCCCTGAGCACCAAGGCGCCCCCCCCCCATCTGACAACACAGAAGGCACACATGGTACTCATCTGCACATCCAGGCACAAGGGGTACTATTTGTGCTGCTGGCTCAATGTGTGTCTTCATGGAATAGGCTTTTTATCTGAAGGAATGAGCAGCAGACAGGCTGCTCTGATTGAACAAAAAGTCCATGCTGATTTGGACCCGGGCTGTTGGCAGATGGATGTATACTTTTAAATGAGCCAAGTGAGCATGCCGACCTAAGGAAAACAACTGATAGTATTTGCTGCCAAAGATAAAATTTGGGTGTTCCATTGAAAATTAGAATTTTGGAAAACTAGTGTCCACTGTTGTAGCTTAACAGCTTCCAAAGACTGAAAGCTTTTTCTAATGATAATATTCAAGACTGTGTAGAGTTTTAAAGCTGTGAAATGAAATTTGTCAACATTTGAGAGATCTAAACTGGTTGTGGTGGCACATGCCTATAATCCCAGCACTGGGGAGACTGAAACAGGAGGATCACTAAGAGTCCACGCTGCATAGTGAGACCCTGTACCAAATAAATAACTTATTTTTTTT